ATGGCCCTCATTCCCCTGTTCCAAGCTCATTGTAGCAGATTGATGGCTGTGAGGAAAACTGGAAGCACCTGTAGAGGTCTGAGTTCCATGAGTGGGCTTCTCCCAGATGTAAGCACACTTCCTGTAAGCCATTCTTCCTTAGCCAGAAACTCACCCCCTCCAAATCATACACTTATCTTTGTGGAGAGAAAGCCATCTTCATATATGCTCAGATTATTATAGTTCACTGAAGCATTCACAAATCGGTTGTTCACCTTTTCAGATATATTCATTGATCACGTCACTAAAATTTTACTTTTCATACTACTATGTGGTACTTTCCTGGTTCAGTTTTTCCTCAGAGCAGTCAGTTAACCATCTGTGAATATACTTGGTCGTTTTGACCAACCATGTAACTGTGAAACTATATATACTATAATTGAATGTATTAAGTGTATTTTCACAAAAGTTGACAAGTTTTTAGTAAACACTACAAATCTGTTGTACACAAAATATCAGATTTTTAATAAAGTGATTATAATAAAGATTTGTCTGTCAATTTAAAAAACCTTTACTGAGTCAGTCTAGCTGAAAGGTAATTTTTATGTTGAGAATAAAAACACTTATTTTCATCATGCAGTTTCATATTTCCTTTTCATAACCTCTTGAACATCCTAAATGATTATTGTGCAAGGCAGCCACGTTTCCCAATCACTAACAAACGTTAATGAATATCTTACAAAATTCCCAAGTTTTATTTATTTTTATTTCTGAAAAGCAATGTTTTGAGTTAGCTCTTCTTTGTCAAATTATAAAGCTTAGAACAAAATTATATGAACAGAATGTGAAATTTGATTTGGTTGATTTCAGTATGCTCCCAATGAAATCACTAGCATTTGTGAATTTTCTGAACTTTTTCTAGCATACTATGACACTCATAGCTGCCTAGGAGGAAAGTCACAATAGTTTAAGACAAAATAGCACTAATTTGTCCTTGTAACTTAAAATGTTTTTTCTGACTTTTAGCGAACCTTGGTTGTTATGGTGTTAAGCCCTTTTCAACTGTAAAATCCAAAAAGATCTTCATTTCAGCAGGAATGGAATATTAACATAGCAGGAATTCACATAGAGATCAGATCAAAGTGATAGAAGCATTGTTTGATGATACGATGCCAGAAGAAAGGGGCTTGTGAACAACTTCCTTTATTATAACAGGTCTAATTTTTCAAAGCTTGCAAAAAAACATACTTTATCATTTTGTACTTCATTTGAATTATGATAGGAAAATAAATGTTTTTTAGCATGTTGTCATTGTAAAGACAGTACATCATGTATGCAACAAAGATGGCAAAGGCTGGACGCATTTTGTTTAACAAACATGTTTTTTTGTAATAGTTACTATTATATTTTAAAGGTATTACGTGTAAGTACAAGTTCTGCTAAACATGAAAGTGTGTGTTATGGAGGATAAAGTAAGGATATTTCATTGAAGAAATGTTTTACTACAATTAAACCTTCATTGTATGGAATAGATGTGTGCAATGATTTTATATCCATAGTGGAAATGTTGTTTTCCAATAAAGTGTGTGTTCTCGATTAGCTCTTTCACTATGACTTTTGCTTCTGTGCATGTTATAATCTTCGCCAGTGTAAAACTCAAAAATTAGCTAGGTAACTTTATTGTCAATGTATATAAGTAACATTGGCATGAATATGTAGTTTATAATTCAAGTCTTTATCTCCATTTTAAGTTCTTAATTTAAAAAAAAAGAGACTTAAAATTTCTTAATTTTAGTTTTCTGTGTTTCCTGTGGTGCATCAGAACTCTGATTTTTGCACTTCAGAATTTTCTATCATTAAAAGTATATTGCTACAGCTTCTAAGCAGTTTGAAACACAAACTAAATAAGATTACAAGGAACAATCCAAAATTTGTCCCTCCTACCTTTTTGGTTTTTGAGATATCAATAAATTTCTGGAATCCACCAAAGAAGCCCCCTCCCCACTATCTAACTTTCAAAATTGTTTGCTTACCAACTTTATGTGGCCGATTGACAGGTTTATAATTAATAGGAAGAGCAGATACTTCTCTACATAAGACTCATTACAGCTTTGGTGGCCATAAAATAAGAGTCTGTCATAATTATTGTGTGCGTGAACATCATAGTTATAGCTTGTTTAGAAAGCGAGATAAATTATTGGAGTTTTGGGACATACTATTTTAATGAATAATGTATAGTCTCATGTTCTGAAATGTGTGCTTGAAAGCAACCTAAATTATTTTTATTAAACACCTGAATTTGTGGGACTCGACAAGAATGGCTTCAATTTTTATTCAAGTGCAAATGAGCTTGAGTACACACAGTGACTACTTACAAATCCTTGTTATTTATGTATATTTTTTATTCATTGTTATATATTTCTAACAAAAATAACTCAAGTGAAAAAAATTAGAACCTTCTCAACTTAGACTAACAAAACTTCAGTAGAATAAAACGTTTAAAATTTCACAAACTGAAGTCTGAGCATAGTGCATGCATATTTCTACCAGAAGCATCTAATGTACTTATGCTGTTATTTATTGATTTTGATGGGAGGGTTACTGCTCTAATGGGTGCAAAGTATAGTAAATAAAACCATAAAATTAAAATAAAACAGATGTGAAAAGGTTAATTGTTGAAATTTTTCCAATTAAGTAATTTTGAACTTTCTCATCAATACTGCATTCATTGCATTCAACGGTATTACTTATTTTATATTTTTCAACTTTTTATCTCACTGTACATTGATGAGTTCTCTACAGTTAATGTTAAGGTAGAGAAAATAATTTATAAAATATTAAGTTTCACCCAGAGAAATTCTTTTGTTATTCATTTAGGAGAATCTAGAGGTTGTGTGAGTGAAATATGAAAAGTGTAAAATGAAAAGTATTTTTATTCTTAGCATTGAAATCACCTTTCAGTTAGACTGATTCAGTAGTGATTTTGGAAATTCACATACAAATCTATAGTGTAAATACCTTATTGAAATTTTTTTGTCTAAAACAGACTTTTTTATGCTTACTAAAAGCCTGCCAAATTTTGAGAAGATACACTTAGTAAATTCAGAGTTACAGTATTAAAATTTTTCTGAAGATAGGCTTGGTCAAATTGACCCAGTTCTTACTTATAGAATTGAAGTAGTGTCCTTTATGTTTGCTTGTAAACTTGCAACAAAGAGTGATAAGTTGTCATGAAGGTAACAAGATAAATATTCTGTAGGGCAACTGCATATGGATACAATTGGTCAATCTGATTTGTCCTTCTCTGTGGATTTTGGGGACAGATAGAAAATAAGAGCCTTAGGTTCATTTGTAAAGAATTTCCTGTCTGTTGTGGGTAATTCATTAGCATTGATCGTATCCTCAATACTAGGTTATTGATGTTTGGAATTGGGTTGTCTTGAAGAGGAGTATATAGATAGACTATTGGTAAGTTCTTTTAATGCTTCTTATTTCAAAATATATCATCATTTTGTGACAAGTTATTTAAGACTAATTGTTTGCCTTGAGAGATGTTTTTAGACTTAGTATTGAGGCTTAAATTCAGTCCATTCATATCATTTTTTTCCTTTCTTAATACAGTAGCCAAGTGTGATGAACTGTCTATAGGGTGGTGTCAGTTCTTGGACTTAAACGTACTCCAACAGATATTCAAAAAAAAAGATTATGACTAGAAAGAAAATAAAGCTAGGAATCCTACAACTTTCTGTTTGAATATTTTATGACTTGTATAATATTTGTGTAAAAGATATAATTTTAAAAGAATTTTGTAACATGTATGCTACAATACTTTTCGTCATCTAAAAAATCTCAAATTTCCTTTGTGTAATCACTAAGACCTCCTAAATGCATTTCATACGTTTTTTTTCACTTAATCCTTCAACAATGCTTGAAGCCTACCTGAAAAGCCTGAACATGAAGGATGTTTGCCACTTAGGTAGGAAGGCCTGGGCAGCAGTCAGCTCGTCGTGTGTATAGAAATGCTGGGAGAAGGGTCTTGGGGTAGCCTTTTCATCACGGCAGATGATGATGATGAGACAGATTTGTATGGCTTCACAGAGGAAGATGTGCGTGAGGCAAAGAAGCTGTCTGAATGGAGCAAAGAAGAGCTACACCAGTGGCACTCTGTTGACGACAAATGCCCAACATATGAGCACTTGACAGACCCCAAGATTGTCCGTTACGTAACTATAGCACCGACGGAGGCAAGTGTACCAATTCTCGAGCCACAAGAAGAGGATAATGAAGAGCCTCCATCACCACCACCAAAAGTGTCTGAAGCCATTGAACACCTTGAGGCTAGCCTCCGTTGGCTTGCAACTCAGGAGGTGGACCACATAAAATTCCTCTAACTCAGAAGCTTTCTAGATTTCACTTGCAGCTAGAGACATGCTACGTTCAAGCAAGGAACACTCAATCAGTTTTTAAGAAACAAACTGCAAATGATGATTGCTAATATTCTTGAATGTTTTTATTTGTTGTTTTGTTTATTAAAAAGCTTACTAAAAATAATTTGTGTTATAATTTCTACTGTAACAACAATGATTCATTCACAAAATTATTTAATTCAGAGGTAATTTACTTACCAGAAAGGGAATGTGTAAAAAACTAGTCAAAGAGGGCAAAAATAGAGGTGTTTTAGGATGTTAGGTCAATACTGGGTCAGTTTGAATATTGATTTTCTTGAACCTCGATTTAGCGCAACCCCGCTTGTTTTGCGATGACATTTTATGGACCCCAATGATTGCGTTGTAACGGGGCTACACTGTATCTAATTGTAGACTTTTTATTCATGATGTTTGACACATTTGTAGCTTCTAAACATTAACAAAAAATGCTTACTATGGAAGAGAAATTGAACAAACTATTTTTTGAAGTAGCTAGAAAATTTACTATTAGTTTGCATTTTGTGTAAAATATGACTAATTAGTATGTTCTTCATCAAAAAGAAAATTTTACTACTGTATGTTTTTATTTACCAGATTCGAAAGATGCTGAGAAAGAAGCACACATTACCAAACTATAAGATGCGCATAAAGCCATTTTTCCCATTACCAGATAACATAACAACTGAATTTAAAGTTCCTTCCATGGACAAAAATTTTGAAGGAAGTCTGTTAGAAGTTACTGTCTTACAATGTACAAGGCTTCACAATATAGACCAGTCTCATAAGTTATGTTGTACACTAGCTGTTGGTAAGTATTGGGCATCATTAAACTGAAAGTAGTCTCTTATATTTTGTAGACTTTGTATTTAGAAGTAGCTATAATATATGGGTGAAATATTATTTTGTAAACGATATGAAAGCTTGATCTAAAAAGTACTATAACTATGGTGTTCCATATACTACTACTTTAAATTCTATGACAAGGAACCCACTTTGATACTAATAATGGTTGGAGACGGCTTGAATGGGTAATGAAGAAAAACTTTAATATAAGTTTAACATAAGACAAAACCTTGTCGAAACATTGTACATTTGCTGTTATGTT